TTCAAATCGCTGAGCCACAATTTCTTTCTCTATAAAGAAGAAAAATCCTAATTCCTTTGAAGGGAAGTATCATAAAAGTCAGAACATTGTACTATATACAAGAATAAAGAAAATATATTCTTAGATTTACATTAAAATTTAGATCTGTCTGAACACCAATCTCAGAAGTCTTTAAATCATGCTGCCACACGAGAAGAAGACTGAAAGGGAGGACAAGAGAAACGGACAAGAGTGTGAGGGAAAGGATTACGTAGAGGAAATTCTCGAACTTTCTAAGTGAAAGTAGTAAAGGTACAGGTGTTTATGCAGTCTTGTTATTCTATTATTGCTATTACTTTCTGGTGTTTTAATAACTAGGAAGACTGGAGAATGGCTTCCAATTTTATTTGTAACAACTCTTGCAAAATTATTTTGAGAATTACGATATAACGCCAACAAACCACTAGAAGAAAGAGGGCGCTTAGTGTTGGTTTTCTTGGGAGGGGGATAGAAGAGAAGGGCCCGGGGAAATGCAGGGAGCAGCTGTCAGTCCTGTTTGCAGTGCATTTGCCGAGCTTTGGAATCACTGACTTTTCCCAAGAAGAGTCTGACATTTTCTAAAATAGAGGTGATGGTGCTCCAGTGGCACAATCAGTTATTGAGTGGTACTTAAACTAAAATAGAGGTGAGACAGGGATAGGCAACAAAAGGAAGTAGTTCATCGATGATTTTTTAAGTTTTTCTTCTTAGACTCCATCAAACTTCTCCAATTTACCATCTTTGATTACTTATTTTAATCATGTGTGTAAATAACTGAATTAGTTAAATAAGTACATATGCTTAAGGAAAATCATGCCACCTTTTGTTACCAGAACATAATTATCTACTCATAAATTATAGACAAATACAAAGGAAAATTATATGCACCCAAGACAAGACAAGCTAGGAGAGATTTGCTGTAAGGTAGAATGGTTTGTGGAAAATGTTTCTATAAATACAACTTTGTTTATCTCTTTAATAATTTATGATATAAACTTTGTTTGCAAATATTACAGCCCTATACTTTAAAACTGTCTCTGTTAAGCATGAGTGCATTGGGAGTTGTACTTATTTCCTGAGCAGGTGTCCACTTACTTGTCATATACTGTTTAAACCTTCTCTACCTAGTGTTATTCTAAATGCAAAAATAGCTAATGGAAAATCAGAAATAAATAAAATCACCTGTTAGATGATAACATGTCTAATAGATCATTCAAAAAAGAAAATAAACTCGGCAGGCTTTGCAATTTTACATAGTCAGGAAAAGCCCCCATAAAATGTGACAGTCATCATGTAAAGGCAAGAATGGGCTAATTGTAATAAGGGAGTGGGGTTATCTCACACACTTGGTCAGGCTGATGTGGTTGCTCTGTGGGGAATATCGGGAGGTGCCAAGGACAAGCAGGCTGGAGTGGCAGGCGTGCTGGCAGTAGAGGTCATGGGACTCTGTCACCCCTGAGGCAGCAGCAGGTACTGTCAAGAAGACAGAGTGCATGGGGTGTGAGAGCAAGACTGGAACTGTGACTCCTCCAAGTCTTTGGCCTGCGCAATTTTAAGTATATAATCAGTTGTCACTTACTTGGCTGGAGGAGTCTGTGGAAAACTAAGCTTAGTTTTAGATATGTTAATGTTGAAACACCTAAAAAAGATCCAGATAGATGGATGGATAAACAAACAGACAGAGAGACACAGACAGACAGACAGACAGACAGACAGACAGACAGACAGATAGATAGATAAAATGAACATAGAGATAGGCAACGCACAGTGAAAGGTATCTTTTATCTTTTAGAGTTCAGGGTGAAAAGAGTGGGCTGCATTTATGTTTTCAGGTCATCAATAAGTAGATGATATTTACTACTCTGTGGCTCAATATGGTTAAGTTCTATAGATGGAAAAATTTCTGAAGGTTGTGTTAATAGTCTATAGCTAGTAAATAAAATGATGAGTCTCTAGAGAAAAGCTAATGAAGTTATTTGTAGTTTAAAATATACAGTCAAGCATAAATGTTTATAATGTATACAACCATAAGAATACATATATTATGAAATTCTGTGACTTTAGACAGGACGATGTGATTAACAACAGAAAGCACTGCTGGCACACAAGATGAAATGGGACTTCAGATTTAGCCTTGTTTGCTTCTGCCTCACTGAGACCTCAGCACATTCCAGTTCAGCGTAGTGACAGAATCAGCTCCAAGTGGAAGGAGAGAAAACGAGGCAGACAATGGGCATATGCCAGGAAAGCCGCAGTAGATATGGGCAAAGCCAGAGAAGGCAGAGTGGGATACTTTTGCATTTTGTATGGATGAGTATGTACTTAAGTAAAAGAAGGTGACACGTACATTTTTTTGAACTCAGAAATTATCACATTTTTTAGAACTATTTTGAGTCTGCTTTGTCTGATTTAAATTTTGGGTTTTAATGTGAGGACACAAAAGAAACTTTCTGCCATAGTATATTTAACTAGATACTTGTAGTCCACCCAAAATATCTAAAAACATTACACCTAAATTAAGCATTAATCACAAAACATATCAATGGATAATCAAATATTAAGCAATAAAATTTGTCTTCACTTGCTAGCAAAAATCTCATTTATTTTTTCTTTAGTTTTTTATTTATACTAATGGCATCTCTTCCATTGATTATTAAAATTACAAAAAGAGCAATTTGTTCCAGCATGATCCAGGCATTATTCTGAGGTCTTCTCATACATTATTACTGCTCTTCATTGCAAGATTTGAAAAACAAGTTTTATTAATGTATACACTAAATGAATATGCATTAGAGTGTTGGGGACAAACAAGTGGGTGTTGTTCTTAACCCTGGATGCACGGGAGTGACCCAGAGGAACTGAGTTCAAGTGTGCTTTGCTCCTAGTACTCACAATACTCCCTAACACAGTAAGTAACAGAAGACTGGAACTGAGTTTTATGCAACACTTCTTTTGAATACTGCATTCAGCCAAGTGCCAAAAAATGCACTTAACCCAACCTTGCCAACAAGCTATTTAGTAGTTTAAAAAAATAAAGATTTCTCACATTTATACATTCAAACCACAGCAAGCTTTTAAGCAAAAATGTATAAATTGATCCATTTCTTCTTAACTGTGCCATTGCTACTGTGAAACAATATACCAAGTTATAAATTAATAATAAAACAAAACAAACTCATTCTTACTGTGCAGTCAGATGTGAATGTAGCAATTGGATGCCAAGTGAGGGACTACGTGGCCAGAAAACGTGGCCAGGAATCCAGCTAATCCCATTTAGCCTCCCGGGCTTCTGTCAGGTTTTACCACCAAGAGGCAAATACAAGGGCTCAAGTTCCTGTGTGAGTTTCCCAAGAGAAATTCTCAGTTCTAAAGAAGGATAGCTTGCCCAATGCACAGTTTTCACAGTTTAATCAATACTCAAATTGGTAAGGTTCCTTTCTACCTTCAATTAAATTATCAGATGCAGATAATCTAAATATAAAAAAAATCATTAAAAACCAATTTGATTTACTACTCCAAAGTGAAGACGTGCCACTAATTTTCTGCCCCTCCTGTCCTCTGTCTCCTCCCCTGATGCAATAAGCCTCCTGTCCTCAATGGGGCGCTCTCATAGGGGGAGGCTGAAAGCATGGCAATTTCTCAGTGCGAATTCCAGTTTTTAGGTTTAAAGGATGATTGTCTTCATCTTGCACTATGAATAACTACTATGAAGACAACAACATGCAATGCATTACTTATTAATATGTATATTTATTAAAGTGCTTTAAGAGCAGATTTAAGACAATTTTCATGTAGACAAACATTGAGAAGTAGAAATTTAATTTCTGGATAGTAGCCAACAAAATCAGAAAAAAACAGAAACTGCCCTACTGTTAGGTTTTGAAACTGTCTCATTGTTAATTATTTTTCAATAAAATTAATTTTAAAAATTCCAAATAACTTTTGTTGTAATAAACAGAAATAAATTAGATCATGAATAAAATTCATATATCAAAGTTCTGTTTCCCATTTGGCCCCAGTATAATTACAGAAAAAGCATACACTTTAAAGTTATATATAAAGAAGTGATGTTGAATCTCATACTTATGATCCATGTAATCTTATAAAATATCTTCAGTTTTCTTTTCTATATGAAAATAAAAATTATCCAATCACCCATACTGCTATAATTAACAAACATAAAAAATACATGTATAATATATATTCCTCTTTGCAATTACAGCAATGAACAATTTCTTTTCAGTTGCTCTAGAAGCTCAGCTAGAGAATACTTATGTGGAATAAATAAATTTTATTTTTAAGGTAGCTCCAAAAACATGCCTAAGATTTGTATATGGTAAATCAAATTATTTGTTTAAAATTAAAAATACTAATTTTTCTCATAATTTAAACTAGTAGTTTCTTGTCATACTTATAAGAAAGAAAAGATATTTGGAATATTGTTCATGACCCAATGTGTCTATATTTTTTCCTTCCCTAGTGACATATCTGTTACTATGACCATGGATGGGGAGCATCTAATTGGGTAGTCCAGAAATATAATGCCTAGATTTCATGATATATACTAAGTAATGCTTTTAGTAACTTCTGTGCCTTTTGCTTCCTCTTTTCTATAAACACCATGAAATCTCTATGATAATATGTATATTTATTAAAGTGCTTTAAGAGCAGATTTAAGACAATTTTCATGTAAAATGAAACATTAAGAAGTAGAGATTTAATTTCTGGATAGTAGCCAACAAAATCAGAAAAACCTAAACCTCGTTATTAATTATCCTGTAATTAGTTTAAATTGGGTATGGAAGAGGCGGTGCATACCTGTTCCTAAAACCATGAATAATATATTTCTCCCCTTTTATCCTGATCTTATAATTAAAAGCCAAAAATTTATTTTAGTACAGTGCTGACAGCATTTACTCAAGCGATCCAGGATCTTGGAGTAAAATAAGAAAAGTTTAAATTAGTAAACAAACAAAACTCACCTTATCCACAATACATATCTGTTTTCTGGTTTGAGCATCAAGTATTTCAATCTCAAAGTGAGCAGCTTTTGAATGTTTGGGGGCTGGAGCTGATTTTAGAGGGCCTGCTGAGAGGACAAACTGCGACAATGTGTGAAAACTTCTCAGATCATTCCTCGAGGTAGACCTTGAAACTCCTTGAAAGAATAATTCTCTTTTGCGTTCTGAGAGAAGGGACTTTTGCCTTTTGAACATCGTGTGAACCAGCTGGAGAATCTGTCATGGAAACAGACTTGCTAGTCAGATGCCACGCCACGCGGATAGCCCCGTTTTATTTAGCAGGCTTGAAAACAATGGCTGATCCTGTTTCTATATATAACATGCTATTGAGAATCCTGTGGCGCGGGGTATTATTTTACCAGCATCTGAGTTATTCCCCCGCCCTTTTATCTCTGGTTCTTAATATAGCCACTCTTATCTGACATTCCAGAACAAGAAAAGAATAGGTGGTTCTTGCTATCTCTAAATTCTGTATGCATGAATCGACAAGCATAGGGACTATTTTATGCACATTCATGTTTAGATGTATTTAAGTTTAGCTGAGTCATATACTTCAAACTATGAAAAGAGCATATTATACAAAACTCTAAGTGCAAATTAAAAGTGTCATATGTAATCATATGTAGCTGTTAGACATAACATATATATATATATATATAGTTCCAAAATAATATTTTTCAGTACAAATTATGTATTTAAAATAGTCCAAGAAAGTAACTCACACAATATGAAATAGTAAATTTTTCATTCAAAGAAATAAAATATGTCAAACTGTAAGATTATTATATACACAAAACAATGCTATACCCTGGAACATTTTTATACATTTAGGTCATTGAAAAATCATTGAATCAATATACAAAATGAAATCAAATACAAAGCATCTCATTTCCCATAACACTAAATTATGACAATTATAAATAGTTTCAGAGTGAACAGTGAAATGTAAAACAATTTGGGAAGAGGAATTTTACACAGAATTTCAATGCAACTTCCAATATGTGTATCTGAAGGATAAACAAAACATGTTTTTGTAATTTGAAATGGTATGAGTGAAAAATATTATAGAATATTACTGTAAATAAAGTATTAACAGAAAAAAACCTAAATTTATGGAAAGAGGCTTTCTCTTATCTGTGTAAGATTAGTTTTTACTTTTGTAAATAAACATGCTACAGTAGATTTTGTTCTTACTACACATTATGTGCTGGACATGGCATTCATTATCATTTTAGGCTCTATATCACTATACTCAAAGTATATTCATGAAGAAAAGAAAAGATATGCACATTTTAGTGTGTGTCAATTTAAAAACATACATGTAAGTAGTACAGTGGATGAGGTCAGGGAGATTACAGGGTGTAGGATGATGTAGAACTCTGAAGGTATTTGTGCATCAGACAAAACCCCACAGCATGTTGAAAATATCACTAAACTGTTCTTCTAAATACAGAGCAAGATGGCTCAAGTGATTGCATTAAAAATACAATATATTTTGAACAGCTATTGAGACATTAGCAGAAGGCTCTGGGATGTAATAACCTTTTAAAGTTTGCAATTACAAAAAGACTAGTTAGAAATTTTTGTAAGTTCATTAACAGAGATTTTTTTTTTTTTTCAGAGCTGAGGATTGACTTCAGGCCCTTGCACTTGCCAGGCAAGCGTTTATTCTACTGAGCTATCTCCCTGGCCCCAGTAAAGAGCTTGTAAATATGAGGTTTAATCCCTTTATCTTCCATGGCCATTAGGTATGATCTCAGAACAAATTGGCCTTTTATGTCTCAACAACTGTACTATTACTTGGGGCACATGAATTCCCAGAAATAGTGGAAAAATGAGTACTCTCCAGCTTGCAAGTGGGGCCACTTGCTGGGTAAATACTGACACATCTGCATGAGCATCTATTAAAAGTTTCACAGGCTTTCTCCTTATGTTGGCAGTTAACATGTGTTCCCTCAGCCTGAGGGGAAGACCCATGACCATCTCAATCTGAAACTTCCTCTGACTCCATCATGAACACTTTCTTTTTTCCCTCTCTACTAGCTTTGGACATTTTTGCTTAAAATGTCCCTTCTCTCTCTCTGGATCCAGGGAAGCATAACTTTTCTCCCATTTCCCAACTGGCCTCTGTTCCTGTGGGCTGCTAGTATCACTATTCTCATTTTTTGTCTGTTAATTCCATTCTGCATCCTTTCTACTATGAAACACCTTGACACAGACTAATTCTTGCAAACCCTTCTAACTTCTGCAGCTGTGTCAGATTTCTGGGACCCACAGAACAAGATATAACTTTTTGGTTTTAAGGCCTCTGGCAGGCAGCCCTGCCCAAGGAACAGGAAGGTAGCTTTTCTTGTAATGAGGCAGGAAACCCTGGAGAAGGCTCAGCTCAATTGGTGCTGTCAAATCATTACTGTTTACTTGGTGAAAATAATTTTGACTGTATCCATAATTATCCTGCTGATGTTATTATTTGGCTCAAGCATGTTTCATAGTTTCTTTGCTTTTTCTCCTCCAGATTTAAAGCTATTCTGCCTACGCAAGATGAAAATGCTTGGTGTCTATTGAGGGCCTTTAGATAGAACCTCTGGAGAGTATCTCTTACTGCTGGTCAACAACTACGACCCTTTCATCCTGAAGAAGCCAGAGTGGTCATTGTCCATGGTTCTTTCATGGCAGTTCAGGTCACTTCTTCAGAGGAAGGAGAAATGTTGTAGGCAGTTAAATTAGATAGAAATATTATAGGCAGCCAGACAGGGCCTGGCCCTCAAGGAGACAATATGGAAGATAAGATGACTTTGCAACTTGGAAAAGACAGACACTCCCATATGGAGCAGACCTCAAGACAAAAGAGAAAACACAGCTACATACTTTGCTATGGATGGGCATCAAGGATTTATATTCTTAATAGATATCAGTCACCTTGAAAGAGGCCAAATGAGTGGGCTCCTTCACCAACCCCCAACAGGAAGAGACCTTATCCCATATTCATGCCCACTTGCTTTGTGACTTGCTTCCTCATTTGGTACTGGATTTAATCAATTTTTCCTGAGCAATGATGTTTGTAATCTCATTGGTTGACCATAGTTTTGTCCCACTTTATGCCCACCTAAGCAAGTTTCCATGTTCTCTACCACCTTAGACCCGCCTCACTGCATGGTTTTACTTTATAAAAGTCACTCCAAGAGATAGCTTCCCAGGGACCATCTGCTTGGGACCCCCCCATCCCTCTCTCAGACAGGAGCTTTTTTCCCTATATATATTTACTATATATATTTTTATATAGTAAAAATATATTCTACTCATAAAAATATACAATATGGACTTACCAATCTTGAAGTAGGAAGGCTGGTTTGTAGTGGTAAAAAAGGTGAATTTGGTGCTTAACTGGTAGCAACATGAATGGTACATGAGTTGCATTCTAGATTTCTGGTGGTGACTTAGATAGGAAATATAGGTTAAGATTATCCTGAGGTTAAAGTCCTGAGCAACTAAGTGTAAAGGATATGAAACATAGGTTTCTTTATAAATAATAAACAGACAAGTTTTCTCGCATAATAATTCCAAGTAATAAGTAGATGACCTCAAGAGTAGTTTGCATTTAATGACAGATTTACAATAGAAAATAAATGGGAAGTAAATAAAGAAAACATTTCATTTATTTATTTATTTATTTATTTATTTATTTATTGTGTGTGTGGCCACTTCAGCCCACCAGGGGGCGGGGCTGGCTGGCATGTGGTGCTGGGGATTGAACCGCAGTCCCTGTGCTTTTGCTTAGCTTAGCTTGTTTGAAGTAGGTGCTTTAGACCACTGAGCCATCTCACCAGACCCAAGAAAACATTTCATATGGGAAAATCATGGCAGAGTGGCAGTGTCTTGTCCATGTGTCTCAGCCTAATGTAATACTGAGAGATCATTTGCTACTGTGTAACCATGACATTAAAGAGATAAGAATGTTGCCTTACAAACTGGTACTCCTTGAAACTTATTTTTTGATCCAGCCATGAGGACACATTAAAGAAAAATGAAAGGACATTCTACAAAGGACCTGAAGAGTACTCTACAAAAGTGCCAAGAATATGAAAATTAAAGAATATTTGGGAGCCTGAGATGAATCAGAAAACCTCTTATAGATATGTAACAAAAACCCATCATATGTTATTCTAAATTGCTTCTCACAGTAACGAAAGAACAATAGAGAAAAGTGTTGAAATAGAAAACATCCATTTTTATAGCAGCATTTTATCACGAATGAGTTTTGTCAATTGTGTCCAGTTAAAGGAAGCTGACTAAAAAGAATGAAAACGTCCAAATGGAGTCATTGTACTTTCATTTCAAAACTTTTACTGTAAGATAAACCCAGAACAAAAATATACAAAGTAAATATTCACCCACTAAAATAATAATAGGAAAAAGAATGTAGAAAAAGAAAAAGGAGGAAAAGGGCACAAACCAAAGTAATAAAAATATGTATACATTTCTATCAATGACTTAAAAATCTGAGAGAAGAAATTTCATATATTATGTTATGTTTTGTTTTTCTATGCAGATATACAGTAATTTTAGAAATGAAATGCTGTTTATCTGGTAAAAGGTTATGTAACATCATTGTTATGTAAATCTTAATCAAACACTCTGAATTAATATTTGAATAATTCCAGATACTGATCACCAATTTGTAAACTATAAAAAAATTTAAAATATTATTTACAAATAAAATATTTAAGAAGATTTAGTAGGAAGTTGGAATCTTCATTCTTATTGCATCAATTATTTTAAATTGTGATTAAACTGAAACTTTTGGACCTCATATTCTTTCTTTCATCACTTTTTAATTTTTAAGAAATATTTTCCATTTCAACTTGTTGAGATGCTACTTCTAAATCCATTTAAAAAATTAAAAGACATTTGAAAATCAGTCTTAATTTATACAATACCTAAACATAAAAATAGTTTTCATATATAATTTTGCTCACTTGCAGTGCACACATTCTCCTATTAACAACTCGCACTTTTATCTACAACTGAAGAATGAATATTGAAAGGGTATTATTAACAACATCTATGAATCATCTTACCATTGAATGTTTTCCAGTTGTATGAATTTTTACAACTTGATAAAGTCATGTGTCCACTATAACAATATAAAAATAAGATAGTTTTATTCACCTCAAAATGTACTGTTTTCTACCTGTTCATCAGTTCCTATCACCTTAATTCCTGAAAATATCTAGTTGTTTGATTGTTTTTGTAGTTGTCTTTTTTCAAGAATATCATTAGTTAGAATAATT